CCTGCTGAACGGAATGTGTTATCATAAACTTGTATTGGTCACAGAGCTTATTTTCTGCAATATACCAAATATGGGGCAATCCCATTACTTTTTGTCGAGGGAGTCCTTGCTAACTTCCCGGTCGTCCTATAGAAATACATCATCAACTGCACCACTCCAATGTTATATGTTTTATTATTAATGTAGTTAATACTCTGCTGTAAGGGGGCATCACCATCCCAGTCTTTCTTGACTCAAAGTGACATCATGTATTGTGGCACAGATGTACAGTTTGTGTTTGAATGATGATTTCTCAGCCTCACAGATGTGTTATCTCCCAGACATGAGTCTCAAGGTCAACAAAAGCAATGTGATAAAACCATAGACTGTCAAGCTCAAAGTGTCTTGACAATGCCAGTATTCCTGGCTAATCCAAAAATAGGCGGTTCAGTTTAAACATGTGCTCCATTCTTCCCCCAGCCCGTTTCTGTAGACAAACACAAGTGATCCCAGAGTTAGATCCAACCAACATGTCTGTGTCTGCTCCTGTGTGTTGGTGATGACGGATAACAACCTGCGGCTGACTTTGATAAAGGAAGCTTTGTTCTGACTCAGTCTCCTGTCTGACTCCAATGAGCGCCAGGCAGCACCGTTTAAACACATCGCCCAAAATCAGTGATGAGCAGAGCTTCATTATATTAAGGATGTCATTGTTTTAATTCTCAAAGTTCTTATGTTGAGTAACATTATCCATCCTACTTTACAGTATTTTCAGCATAGCTCCATTGATCCAGTATGTTTTCATTTAGTTATTTAAAGGTCTCCTATCATGCAAAATGCACTTTTTGATGTCTTTTATACATAAATATGTGTCCCTGGTGTGTCGGGGAACTCACAAAGTGTCAGAAAATTAAATAAACCTCTCTTTTCCTCCGTACCCAAATCTCTGAAAACGGAGGTACAATGTAGCTGATCTAGATTTGCGTCTGATCTGACGTAATATCGGAAAAGTGGACCCACGTCACTAGCAGAAAGTTGCTATCAGAAACAATGCCTGACGTGTTTTGGACGCAATATGGTCTGTGTTTACATTAGCAAGCATGCTAACACTCAAAGCTAACGCAGTACTGGAGAGAGTATGTGTAAAAAAGCAGGAAACAAAAAGGAACTCACCTTGTGGTAAACCCGCAAGAGAAAAGCATTTGAGCTCCATACTGTTTCAGGAATAATCCTTGATGTGGTTTGGAACACAATATGTTGTTTCATCACGGCAGCATTTAGCTGTATCTGGGTAGAATTCTGAGCAGGCATTAGCTCCCCCTCCTCTTTTTTCTTTTTTTCAAGCTAAGGACCCGAACCTGCAGTTGTCTAACAGGGCTGAGAGGGATGTGAGGGATTTCTAAAATGCATGATCTGTTTGGTATTTTGAGCAAAACACATCATAGACATGTTTTTTATATATCTGAGACCCATAATATATGCCTAAAAATAGCATAATATTTGACGTTGTTACATTGCACTCAAAAATATTGTATAAGCATGATTGGATGTAATTGGTGGATATCTGTCATTTTTTGTGCAAAAAGGTGCACTTTTTACAAAAGTCCAGCTTTGTTTCATTTAAGTAATGATTTTGGTCAATTAATATAATAATTTCAAAAGGATTTAAACTCGCTTACTAAGTAAGCAGAAGTTTCATATTAGATCCTATGCAAATCAAATGATATTATGATCTCAAACGCAGTGACTCGCTTTGTTACTCGCAAATGTCTCTGTGACAGTGTAATGTCTTTCTTTCTAAACTGCGGCTGTTTTTGTTTTCATTACTTATTTGTGGTGTGCTTATACAGGGATGCAAACGCACGTATGGTGAAAAAAGAGAGAACTATTCGAAGCAGAAAAAAAACAGCGTAATATACCATCTGACAAAGGCCTGTGCTATAATGCTTCAATTAACTGGCTATTCTTTATAATATACTCTGATCAATAGGAGACAGAGATGTTAAGATATAAATCAAGGGTTTTTATTATTATTTACACCAGGGGTGGGGAACCTTTTTCCTTTCAATTTTTACAACATCCTCCGAGGGCCGTACAAATTATTGAACTCAACCTCTGCTTAAAAATACTAAAATCACAGCCCATTCATTTCGCCTTTCTTTCATGCTTTGCAAAGAAAAAGCTACCTCTTAATCCAGATATCTTACCATGACTCGCGCATGCACGTGCACGGTGTGGCATGACCACCACAACAGAAAGATATGGACACAAGATGTGTGCAAATGTATTTAGTATCCTATCCATGTGGACATGATTTAAGTGTGGCGGGGGATTTTTTTTTTTTAAGGAAACCTATCATGCTATATTTAAATGATATATTGTATGGCCATACCTATATAAGGTATATTTATACGTTTCTGTTTTCAAAATACCAAACAGATCATGCATTTTAGCCATGCCTCATTTCGCTCTATGTGCTGTTTGCTGTCTACGGGTCTGATTCTGCTGACCACGCCCCCCTGCAGGAGAGGGGAGACATGCTCTGATCAGCTGCTGGGCTGTCAGAAGAGGGGGAGAAAAAGAGATCTCCGTCCTCCGTGTTTTATTATATAGAGTCGTTATTCATTTGTTTTAAAGCTCAATAAATAACAAAGAAGACCTTTGACCGGCAATTTTCTAATTTTGTCCGGAAGATTTAAACTTTAACGGACATCTTGACCGGCGAAAGAAACTGAAACTGAAACTCTGCCGCACGGTCCCCTCGTTCCTTGGAAGAGGCGGAGAGGTGGGTGTTTGTCATCTGCTGGTGGACTAACCGGAGAGAATTACAGTGCTTGCCTCGACGGGGAGGGATTGCATTGCAGCGGGAGCAAACGCTTGCCTCGGGGAGGGAGAAAGAAAGCCACAGCGGAGAATAAACAGAAGGGAAACCATGGCAACCAAGTCTTCCTTGCTGCTTTTGTGGCAGACTACAGCGCCACTTACAGGCCTGGCATATGTACTACAGCGTCTCCAGCGCTTTCGAACGGCAATGGCCGTGGCTGTCTCCTCCTGATTGGTGGAGTTGGCCCAATAGCCGTAGCGCCACCGTCCTGACGTCAGGACAGTGTTCAAATCTGGATCAGTTTTTATCAGATCCGTTGCAGCCCCTTTTTTAGAGATTTGGGTATGGAGGAAAATAGAGAGGGTTGTGTTTTCTGACACTTGGTGAGTTCCCTGGAACACCGGGGACACATATTCATGTATAAAAGACGTACAAAAGTGCATTTTGCATGATAGGTCCCCTTTAAATATTGAAGTTAAAAGCATCAATCTGGTGCACTTTGAGAGCAAAAAGAAGAGATCTATGGATACATCTTTCAACACCCATATGAAACAGAACTGTAAGCAGATTTTTCTTTTTGGATATTTTACAAATCACTCTCCTTTCAAACTCTATTCTTGTTATTTTTAACAACTTTTTTGTTACTGTCATATAGTATTTTATACCTGTTTTTCATTTAGTCTCTAATGTCTCATTAATAACTATAATGATCATATCAAGGTGTGCCTTAACCTCACTGAGCTGAGGTTATTTGAGCCTCTCAGGAGAGAGCTCTCTTCCACCTGGTTGTAGAAAAGCTCTTTAAATTCGTTAGCATAGCTAGCTAACCAGATGCTAATAACAACAGATCGCCACTGTGCTTACAACTAAAGACACAGCCACGCAAACACTGCGGCATGTACGGCTCCTTATGGGTACTGCAATATTTGAAGAGCTGGAGCGGCGTTCCGGTGCTCTCCGTCAGCACTCTAGTCTACACTCCTTTCAGACGAGACTTATACCACGTAAAGACACGTTACGCTCGTGTTGTGTTCAAGGAACCTGTCCTTGGCCAGGAAAAACAGGCACTCGCTTGTTTAATTATTTTGCGGTCTCGATTTCTTCTTCTTTATTGAAGTGAGAAGTTGTCCCAAATCAGCGTTAAAAAAGCGGGAGGCGCCGAAAAGCGACTAATTTGCATCACTGTTATAACTTTAATAACTTTACCTTAATGTGACAGTAGAATGATTGACTCCTGGACCAGTCAGTGGATGCTTTTTATTACAATAGTTTCAGTGCTGTCTGGTAGAGATTGTCTCCCCAGAATTATGATTGATGTTTTTATTTTTTTTCATGAAATGTAAACTTGGAAGTGGCTAATCTGCATATATGAAAATGGAAAAAACGTGAATGTGCAATTCCTGCAACCAGGTACACGCATGCATTTATTTATTTATCTGTGGCTTGAACATTTTAGATGATAAATAAAGGATATCTCCCTGTAGGCAGGCTGGAAAGGTATTTGTGTGAAGTAATTTGGGTTTTATTTTCTTCATCCCAGCATTAGTGTGCTGATACTGAACAGTGTTACTGATTTTCAGTTGTTCTCAACCGTAAGGCTGGCTGAAGCCTACCATCAAGACACAATTACAGTATGTGCTACTGTTTCAACCGGACTTACAGACCTAGTGGCTTTACTGCTGTGTCAGAATTTGAGTTTACTTGTTTTTTTTCTGCTACTACTGAAATCTAAAATAAATAGTTTAGCACTGTACCAGTAATCACATTCAGTGGTACCAGATAGAATATAAATGAAATGTTATGTAACCTTAATCTTGACTATTTTTAATTTAGGACTTGCTTCAAAATCATAATATTTCCTAATATAAGGAAGACCTATATGCCATTTGGGCTGTGTATTGGAAACAAATCTGGTGGTAAAAGGATAACCATGATACAAGGGTAACAATTTAAAATGTTGCTTTCCTAGATATTGCATTGGTTTAAAAAAAAAATCTTATGTAGGAAAAGTGTAAATCATAAAGAATATGTATGCACATTTGCATCTAATTGGAGTAAAACAATTAATAAATAAGGATCCGTCTGTTTGTCTCAGGGCTCAAGGCTTTAAGACATCTACAGATAATTTAAATACTGCCTGATGTTTCACCATTTGAATGTTGTTCCTCTTGTGCCTCTCCTCTTCCTTCCTCTGCAGGTTATGGTCACACCACTCCTCTGTCGGACACTGGTAAAGCGTTCTCCATCCTCTACGCCCTGATCGGGGTCCCCTTCACCATGCTGGTGCTCACGGCCTGCGTGCAGAGGATCATGTTCCCCCTGGTGCTCGCCCCCGTCGGGCTGCTGCAGCGCTCCGGCCTGGAGCCTCGGCCTGCCACCATCGTCCACTTCCTGTTGCTGCTGATCCTGGTGGTGATGTGTTTCTTCGTGGCGCCGGCGGCTGTGTTCAGCACGGTGGAGCTGTCCTGGTCCTTCCTGGATGGAATCTACTTCTGCTTCATCTCGCTGTGCACTATCGGACTGGGAGATTTTGTCCCGGGAACGCAGCCCAATCAGCAGTACAGGTCGCTGTACCAGGTCGCTGTCATGGGTGAGTGCAGTTGTTAATATTTCCTTCCTACATCAGAAATTGTGTTCGTCCATTTACACAACTATAATTCAGCCAAACTGTAGATATTATTATAAAACAGTACAGGAACAGACGTAACAATTTCGATGTTCTTTGGTTAAAACGTAATTTTCGGCCACTAGGGGCTCTCAATCTTACAATAACAAGAGTTTTTTTTGTGTCGTAAAGGTAGTGTGGGATTGTCAAAGTTTGTCATTGCAGTCTGCTCTCAGTTAGGATTACTTAATTGTTCATGGTTTGGGAGGTTTTTAGCAGGAGCCACATTTTCCGCAGAAGTCTCCTCTTTAACCTGTTATGTACCGCCCCCCCGGTACCGGGCGGATAAACGCGTCATTTGCAGGAAACAACGTCTAAGGAATCTTAATATTTAATAAACTATGAATGTTTTATATCCATGTAACGGGAAGAAACTCAGCTAACTGATCTTTTAAAAAAAAAAAATCCAAAAAAAACCCACAATGCTAGCACTCAGCCTCTGAATTAGCCACGAGCGAAAAAATGTAACCTATCTCTGCACCTAAACTCACTCATAACTCCCTTATTACTTATCCTAGATGCACAGCCAACCCCTGGTTTTGCATCAGCTGGAGACACAGAATCTGGGGGTGCCCACCTCAACACTCAGTGATAAACATTTGTGACGCTATAAACGAAAGCGTACATCATAACATGTGGAGCTAGGTAGCTAGAAACGCTGACATAGCTTACCTTGGTCAAAACTGGTCTTCAATGGCATTAAAACGACAAAAAAAAAGATGCTGCAGTTAATCCATAGGTTAATCCAATGTGTCTGTGTCCTCTTTGAAATGATTTCTGATAATCCATAAGCAATAAAACTGCTTTTTCGTTTCCAAATGTCAGAGCGAGAGATCGGTCCACTCTGCTGCAAAATGACATGCGCGAAGCCTCCACCTCTTCTCTTCACAACGTGTGTGTGTGGGGGGGGCCTCCCCCTTCGATTCTATTGGCTCTATCGGTCAGAAAGAGGTGTCAACCATCAAAATCGACCAAGGGGGGCCAGAGATATGGAAAAAAAACATTTTCACCCAAATCACCTCAGAGGTGGGGTGGTTTTGGCTAAACCTCTCTAAAAAGGTCAAATGTCACTTGTTTTGCATCAATCTTGATACAGGGTACTTATTATATGTTGTACTTTGGATTCCTAAAGCTTTTAGTCTACTAACCCATCATCCAAGGGTAGTTTTCACTATCTGTAAAAAACAATTTTTGGACGGACACTATAATTTACAGTTTTTTACTATGTAAAATCTGAATTTTCTTTAAAATAAAAAACATCTATATTGATTCTGAGACTTCTACATCCAACTCACAGATGTAACCTTGCTTTGATAAAAGAAATTATTCATATAACCCTTTTAGAAGTTAAGTTGTAGTCATTTGTTTTGGGCATGTCATTTTCGAGCCTGAAACATGAAAAACAGGCTTGGTGCTTAACAGGTTAATGAGTCTACAAACTGACCAGCAGATTCAATCTGAGAAAAAAAAGGAAAAAAAAGTACTTTCACATAAAAATATCAGGGTTTCACCAACTTTGCTCCTCACAAAACAAACAGCCAGGAGCCCATTTGCTGCTGTTGTTAGTTCAGCTTGTTTCTCTGACAACTTCAGATCCAGGCATTCAGGACAGTGGCGCCGGAAGTAGGGGCCTGGGCCTTGGCCCCCCCACTTTACAGCCCTGCCCCACATTTTCGCAGCGGAACACTACATCCCGTTTCAATAATTCCCCTCAACTCTATAGTCGCATCTAAAAAGAACGCGATCTGATCTAGCTGTGTATATTTTTTTATTTTTGCAAATTGAGGAGATAAGACGATCTCTTTAGCTACAGGCTCAGCGACAGAGGCTCTCATATATTGCATTAGGTAAAATAAAGCAGGCACACATAAGAGGAAGAATATGTACATTTTAATCCAATCAAAGAGGACATTGTCCCACCATTCAAATGTATCCAGTGTACATTACAACCAATTAACCAACAGCTTACATTTGTTTCTTTGTTACGTTGATCTGTGTAAGCCGTTAACCTATCTAGATAAACGTAGCTATTGATATCGCAAACATGTCAAAAGACCCAGCGCATAAGAAAAGAAAATACAGTCAAACAAAACTGAACTTCAACAACTTCCATGTCACATCCCTGACATCCACAACTCCGGAGCCTGGCCCTTCAACCCTAGAACCAGCGCAGCCAGATGAACCCCAAAGCAGCAGCTCTGCGACCGCTGAGACTGTCAAAACCGCCGGCATCGTTGAACCGAAACAGGCTGGTTCCGACTGCGTGTAGGTTTGTGGTCGGGACATTGAGACGGGTAAAGCTGCACAGCTAATTGTAGATAAAAAGGAGACCGCTAGATCGTCTGGGCAAAGAGAAAGGTACTTCAATGCAGAATGGTACAAAAACAGAGAGTGGTTAATTCTTTGCAAAACCACTAAACGGGCCTTCTGTGAAATAAACTACAGCTTTGTAAATTCCGGATTTAATAACTGGAAAAAGTGCCCAAGCCTCCTGGACAGCCACGAAAAGTCTCATTTTCAGAGTGTAGAGGCTTCTCAATTCTCTAATTTCCCCTCCTCGACTCCTATCCTCGACTCCTATCCTCGAGACTTAGTCCCGCCCACAGGAGATGCGAGCGGAGGAGCCGAGGAGGGGAACCGAGGAGAGTGGAGGGGAAGCAGCAGGCGGTTAGAGAAATGAGAACTCCTCTCCTCTGAGCGGTTTAAAGAGACGTCCGTTAATGATGACAGGAGGCACAGCAGCACTCTGTCTGATGGACAGATGTGTTCATGACCACTTATATATTTACTTTTAATTCATTGACAATAACAGGCTACAGATGCGGACATATACACACAAATATATTTATATAAATGTATACAATTTAAAGTATGAGAGCACTCTCATAATAACGTAACACAATCAGAGACTGGATATATCCCCCCCCCTCTCTCTGGTCGCTGAAATGGGGAATTGAAATTACGGGCCAAAAGTTGTATTAAAAGTAAGCATCGGACACCAAACCAACTGAGACCCGTCTGTCCGCCGCATCTACGCACTGTACAACACACACACCGACACACTGTACCACACACACCTACACACTGTACCACACACACCTACACACTGTACCACACACACCTACAGCTCCTAAAGCATATCATCAGGCTACAGCCGTTGTGTATTTTATTATGTGAAGCACTAAATGGTCTTAGAAAAAGATGGACTCTTTGTTTGTAGATATCTACTAAACTACAGCATACAAATACAGAGAGTAATGTAGGCCTGTTATACCGAGTGATATATATGTTACACACTGCTCTGCTTTCTGCACGGACCTCACAGCTGTTCTCACTGTAAACATCGCGTCGCGATGAAAGCAGTTCATAAAATAATATCCAGGGGATGCATGCAGAGCTGTCATTGGCTGAGATAAGTCCGGCCGTGCGTCACGCCTCCACCGTTCCCGGAAATGCATCCGCGGAGGAGCCGTGGAGGAGCCATCAGTGTATCCTCGGTTATAGCTCCTCCAGAGAGCCTCCTCGACGCTCGATGCTCGGTCCTCGATGTGCATTTAGAGAAATTAGATGTCCATCAACATGGCGCGCTGAAATCCATTTCCGGGTCACTACCGGAGGTCCGAGGAATCGAGGAGGGGAAATTAGAGTATTGAGAAGCCTCTATTGTTCAAAAAAAGGGCTTGAGTGCATAAATTAATGTTGTCTTCTTCTGTTTGCTTTAATACAGGCTGCGTAGTTATGCAGCGCCCCCACTGCCAGTAAATGTAACCACTACAAGGAACCCTGTTAATTATGTGCAGTTATTTCACGACTTTTATTATATACACCTTGAAAAAATTACCTCAATGGTGGATACGGCCATGCCTGTAGCCAGAGGCGGAGTGATTACCACTCCGCTAATGCCTGTAGATTTAGCGTTTCTTTGACCATCACATACACACGCACTTTTTGGACCCCACACTTCTGAAATGAATCCGGCGCCGCTGATTCAGGATCCACAGAGGTGTCCAAAACAAAAACTCAGGCCCGCCCCTCCCTACACGCAGATCACGCAGACTGTGTGGGGCCTCACCTTGCGAAGGGGCCCTCATCTCATGTGCAAATGCGGCGCAATTCACCTTATGCGCAAATGCAGCGCAATTATGCGCGCAACAGTTTCCCCGCTGCGAGGCTCTAGCCTGGTTAGGCTAACTGCTAGCTAACGGCTAACATTTGCTCAGAATGTTTCTCTGAAAACGTAGCATACTGATGTCTAATGACTGAAATCCTTCATCCTGTTAAATTATAGTTAGAAACAACCAAGTTGATTTACTTGATTTAAAATGACATATTTCTCTAGGTTTGAAAGTATTGAGAAACACAACTCAAGAAAATACCTAGCATTAATCTAGTGGTTTATTTCAGAATATTATATAATATTTCATATTATATCCTTAAAGTCATGTTAGCCCTTTGAATGTTTAACAACTTTTAAAACTGGCAGGCTATTCTCAGTCTATCAGTATCCTCACTCTAGCCATGACTTAGGCACGTTTGTTTGTGGTGTGTAAGTGGTTAACGTTTAGTCTAGAGTTTCTACAGTCTCAGTTTCAGGCTCACACACTTCCTCATTTTAAGGCTTGGTCATCTGATATATATGTTTGATAAGAAGGTGTTGTCTCATCGTGATCCGGACCTAATGAAGTACCCATCCGCCCCATTTACTCGGGCAAACAAATGTACTTTAAATGCTAAATTGTGGCTGAGGGATTAGAACTGACAGATAAAATATACCATAGACATGTTAAAAAAACGGTGAAAAGCCTGACTTACTTACTTTCACTACCTTTCCAGTAATGGTTGCACACTTGGCTGTAAAATGTTTTTATTAAAATGTAGTGCAGAGTCTGGGATGTGCTCCTGCTGCCACTTCTTGGGTTTCAGGT